AAAAAAAACAATAAAATGATACTTTTTAATATTTTTACGTTTTTGAAATAGCAAATTATAATAAACACCAAGTTTACAATTACTTAAAATGTGTATAGATTTTTTGGGACACCCTGTAGAATTCTCTATAACTTAAACGACTCTGCCACTGTTTACGAGCGAAGTCTTGTACGCATAAGCCTGAATGCACCACAGAACTTTGCTGGTGCTTACAACAGACAGATTAAATGTTCCTTTAAGAGATTTTAGGAACATGATTGCAAGAAAGTACCCTAAGCCACCCGCGCGTGTGACCTTGGTAGATCACCGGTCCGATCACAGGGCAAAATAAGTGTGTAAGATTTGGACTTGGAGTTCTCCGAGGCTGGACTCAGAAATCAAGGTTTTTCAGCAAGATCTTTCTCCTGTATTCATAATTAAACCCGCCCCCCCCTTCGGCGTTCTCATTAGTCTTCAATGGCCGTATCTTTGGCGTACTCATAGATGTGCTTTTAGTTAAATGAACCTTGCTCGAACGTTAGTAAATCAGAAATTGGCTGGCTTGGCTTGATACGGCTCTGATTGTGCCTGATATAGTGGGCCTCAATGATATCATGGAGGGCACCTACCCACGCGTGACGATTAGCGGCAGCGGATTTGGAAAGTTCCGCCCATTTTCTCTTATGCAGCGACAGTGACCGAAATTCGAAGGTCCAAGAACCGCTTCCATGTCTTAACGAACGGTTTTAAGCCAAGTCGCACACTACTTCTTACATCAGTCGTTGCCGCCAGGACCTGAACTCGTGACTTATTGGTAGGGTTTTGACTTTAAAACCTTATTGATCCAGGTTAAAATGTCATGGCTTTGTCGCCTGAAATTGCAATACGAATGACGGACAGGGGCTCGTGCGAGTTCCGTTTGAGCCACATTGTACTCGCTAATCATAAATATAGTGCGGCTCCGAATTCGTGCAATATGCCGACATTTGGGAAGGATTGATACTCACTCGCTAATCAGCATTGAGTAAAGTTGTAAGACTGATTATCGTGTAGTCTTTTCTCAAGTAATTTCAGTCACAATAGGATGCCGGCTTTTAAATGAACTTCTTTCTGAACGCCACCAAAAAGTATGTACTGTAAAAAGTGGCTACTTAGGAAGTATGCATTTTTATCATCGATTTTGATTACCTGAATATATTCAAATATATTTTATGGAAAACATGCACGAAAAATTCTTTCTTGTAGTGGTTTGATAGAAAATTACGCCTTCAATTTTATACTTAAAGAAAGGGTTTCCTTCGGTTTAACAAAAATTTCTAATTATGAGATCTGCTACGATTATGAGGTGTTCATTCATAATTCATCGTATCCGTCAATTTATTAATGCTGCCTATAATGTATAGAACAGGATCCACATCTATTGCAACATTTTATGAGAACTATGCGACTTCTTCCTCAAACCGTAGGCAAATTCATACTTTTCCTTGAACAGGATGTACACAGCGCGCAGTTTGTAAACCTTGAATTCAGGTGTAGCAGTCGGTAAATTTCAAACTTATTCGGCAATTTTGGGACTTTTTTAAAACTAAAAAATACCCCTTCTTTAATTATGAAATTTAAGAAAAAGGCATAATTTTCTACCAAGCGAGTACATGTACTTTTTCCGTAAAATATATTTGAGTTTATAAAGGCAGCCAAAATCAATGATAAAAATACACACTACTTATGTAGCCGCTTTTTACAGTACATACTTTTTGTTAGCGTTCGGAAAGAAGCTTGTTAAAAAGGCGGCATCCTATCGTGAGTGAGATGACTTGAGAACAGGCTACACGATAATCAGTCTTACAACTTTACTCAATGCCGATTAGCGAGTGAGTATAAATCCTTGCCAAATGTCGGCATGTTGCACGAATTCGGCAGCGTACTGTAATTATGCTATCATAGACTCCACAGTTTAGAGAAAAGTGCCGTCGCCTGCTTTTCATGCTATCAACATGCTACTTCCACATACCTCTCGCCTTTTGCTTCAGCTGCATACTGAGGAGGGCGTGTGCACACATCATGTGTGACAATGCCTGCTTGCTTACAGAATAGTAAATTTCTGTTTCTGCTTTCCGTCTACCTCGCCAGCTGTACAGCTTTCAACTGATTCGCGGACTGGCCTATGTGCACAACCGGAACATTTGCCACCGTGATATTAAACCGCAAAATCTGCTGGTCAACCCGGAGACCGGCGTCCTCAAGATCTGCGACTTTGGGAGGTAATCTATGTGTGCTTTCTTACTGACAACAACCTTCACCTTCTGTCACAGAATGCTGGTTTACTTGCTTACTTTTATCCGGTTAATCTGACGCGCTTGAAGCTATCGCGGTGCGCTAAGAGCCGCAGCTTAGAGGGTTGCCAACTGACTGGGTAACTCGGACCGCGTAGTCAGCCCAGCGTATGTCTTATTGTTCGGAGTAGCTGACTGGCGGACTGAGAGAGTCAGGTTGCAATGGCTTCTTCTTC